ATTTGCCCTTACCCCCCCCTGTAATATTACATTGTTCGCTTATAATGTTATAATGATAAAAATGATATGAAATTCATATCGCGCAAATCAGTAAAACAATCATTGCTCTATGCGCACTGCATAATATTCATGAAAAACATACATGCACACATACATGCACATAATAATATATGCACTAAAAAATAATAGGTGTTACGACATGGTGGGATCAGGCGCTCGTCAGTTTTGAGGCATACAGAGTTATTGATATCATCTTAAAGCCTGTCCATTTGCCTTCCTTTCGATGAAAACGATTTTCATCTATGCTGGATAGAAGTCGAAATATTAGTGATTGAAGGAGGTGGGTCACCTGATTTCAGAGGTAAATTTAGTGAGAAAGCGGCCGCCAAAGTTTGATAACTTCAATAGCTTTAGAGCCTTTAAAACTGAAAAATCACAAATTTTGTGCATGTAAGTAATGTTTTTCAGTATGGACGTAAAAGGTGTTTAGCGAGAAAAAAAATTCAATAAAAGTTCCCTAACCTGTGGAAAAAAATGACAGTTTTTTTCATTTTCATTATTTTGACGAGCGCCTGATTTCACCACGCTGCCTCACAATTAGAGTTCAACGAAAATGTTGCATACTAATACACACTCTTTCTTACTAATAAGGAAAAAAATTGAGATTCCTGTCAAAGACCAAAGTGCTTTAATTTTATTTTTTTTAAAGTTACAGTGGAATTCTGATAAAGTCAGCACCCCGGACAGAAAAAAAGTGTTGACTTTGAGCAAGGTTGACTTTATCCATTGTACTACCGGGGTACTGGCCATTGAAAATTGAAGATGACAGCTACAAAATTACAAAGTACTTGGTAATAAACAAGATGTAATCTCAATTTAACGCAGTATAATTCTCAAGTTGTCACCAAAACAAGAGATAATGAAAGAACAAAGTACATAATATGTATTTGGAGGTGTGTACACCACTTGCTCAGGCGAAATATCTCTTCTTGAATGAATTCATCTTAGGATTTAACCCCAAATTGTTGACTTTTCGCAAGGTTAACACTCAAGCGGTTGACTGTATCAGAAACACAATTACTTAAACAAAGAAGGTAAGAAACGGGACTACAGTGAGGTATTGATTGTAAGCAAGAGTTGACTTTAAGCAAGTTCACTTTATCATGATTCCACAGTATCTGTTATTACTGATCATTTTTATGCTGGAAAAAAAAGTGAAATTAGTTATCAACAACAAATGCAGAGCTCATCATTGTGTCAAAAATATAGTGTCACCTCACAAAAGTGTAATATTACTTTAGTTTAAGACCCCCCCCCCCCCTCTTACACTTTTCTTACAGGAGCCAAAGACCCCCCCCCCCCCCTTCCCAGGCGTAAGATTATATTTGAACGGCCCCTTTTGGGTTTTAAAGCTGTAAAATTAAATCAGGAAGTTAACAAATACCAATCCAGGAGCTTTCGTGGTCAAGAGGTACAGTGTTCGCCTCTCATTCAATAGGTCCCTGGTTCGAAACCTGACAACGACGAAAACCTTCGTCTCGTAAATATCATACTTCCAATTTTCTTTCCTGCTCTCTAATCATGTTCTTTCATATACTTTCATCACCACTTTCTCTTTCCAACCACCCCCCACCCCCTCAACAAAACACGAAATGTAACGAACAGAATCGATATCTTCGTGGGTCATGCGATACAGTCTCAAGTGTGTGTGCATGTGTGTGTGTATGTGTGTATGTGCGTGTGTGTGTGCGTGTGTGTGTGTGTGTGTGTGTGTGTGTATGTGTGTGTGTGTGTGTGTGTAGACTATGTGTATGTGTATGTGTATGCATGCGTGTTTTTTAATCATACAAACTCATTCGATGCCGTGGAAGTCCCTGTTAGCTAACAAGGGGGAAAACACACGAATGAAACAACATTGTTGAAAGGAAAATCAAATAACTGGACAGTTGGACTGATGAATATTCCTGAAAAGAAAAACTTTAACTACCACTTCACGATCATTCTGCCGTTTTTGGAGATCAGCTGATCTCGACATTTTTAATTACAGGATGCTACTGAATGGCATTAAAAGCACGTGACTGCAACGCTTGAAGCCCTGATAAGAGTCGTTTCATAATGAGTTAACGATGCACCTGAACGAGATTCGGCTTTCCAACGAACGCCTTTGAATTAGTGAAGTGAACTCTGTACACACAGAGTCTGTACGCACTTGTCTTTTCTTTCTTTTTTTCTTTCTTTTTTTCTTTATTTATTTCCATGCGTCGTATGTCCACTGAAAGATGTAGCCCTCCAACAAAGACCTCCACTCGGTTTTATCCTCTATTTGCCGTGTCAAGGTTGTACCTGCCTGCTATTTGATGTCAAATTGCCATCTTCTTTCTGGGCTTCCTCTTGATCTTTTTCCTGTTTTAGAGCTCCATTCGATTTTGTCCTTCTATTGTCTTTCACTCTGCGTATCGGAACAGTACATTTCCATTTTTTTTGTCGAAGTATAAATATTAGAGGATATCTGCCACCCCTGTTTTCTTTCACTTTTTTGTGTGGTTAAGTTCATCTTAATTACTTGTATTCTTATACCGTGCATCTTCCTTTCCATTGCTATTTGTGTTGTCTTTAACCTCTTCACTGTCAGGTCCGTTTCATAAACTTCAGCGATAAGAGTAGGCTTAGGCTGCCACCCGGGCAAAATTCAACATTTCCTTCTAACTGAATTTTTTTGTTGTTGTTGGGGGGGGGGGGGTAAGTGCTTTACGGTGCTCGCTTCTGAATAAGGTCATACGAGCACACGGGACACATTAAACATCTTCAGGGGGTAGGAAATTTTGAATTTTGCCCGGGTTACGGCTGAAGCCTATTCTTATCGATTTTGGACCACCAAGACTTAGTGATCTTTAACGTGCGCAACTTGTACACGGGACCTCCGAGAATTTTCGCCCATGTCCGAGAAGGCTAGGTGTAGATCTTTCCTACCTTGTTTTGCCAAAAGACAGCAGTAAGAAGGAGCCAAGGGGTAGCAATAGAAAGTCTGCAGAAAGAGCCATGAGGCCGGAGGAGGGGGCAAAGGAGGTGAGGGGGTGGGGGCAGAAAGTGGAGACGAAAGCAGACGATAGAACATTTTTAGAGAGCAAGAAAAGAGGTGAAAGGACTATTTTTAGAGAAGAAAAATTTCCGTCGCTATCCAGATTCGAACCTAGAACCTTTTGAATGAGAGACGAACACTTTATCCTCAAGGCCACGAGAGACCCCCTGAAAATATATAATGTGTCACACGCGCTCAATTATATGGCCTTATGTAGTTACGAGCGCCGTAAAACATTTACCCAAACAAAAAACTCACAAAAACTTCAGTTTACTGGCATTCAAATTTATTGTAAGCTACTTTTTATTTTATCTTAAATTTGTAGTACTTTTGCTATCCCCCCTCAACCGACATCCTCCATCCAGCTATCTAAGCGAAAGAGAGCTGATCTCGCGGAGAAGGCCTCTGTGTTTGGAAAATACTGCTCTGCCCTTCACACACTCAAACAATATTATATGTTGTGAGGGGGAATGAGAGACTGGGGGAAAGGGAACACATACACACACACACATACACACACACACACACACACACACACACACACACACACACACATACACACAGACACACACACACACACACACACACACACACACACACACATACACATTAACCTGTTTTGAACCGTCAAATGAAAATATATCTCTACTTTGACATCAATTAAATGCTTTGACCGAAAAGGGGGGGGGGGGTAGAGACCGAAAAGGTTTGAGGGGGGAGGGGAATCCAATTAGAGTGAAGTTACCACAAATTTTCAAAAGCTGGATGACCAAGCAATCTAAAGGTGAACTTAGATGAAGTATTTCATCGAGTTCTTATCTTAAGTCAAGGAGGGCGGGGCGAAATGATGTCAAAGGAGAAGACAAACACCACACTGTGAGCATGTCTGCCCAGCAAAAAGTAATTCTCAGACTGGATGTATGTCCCGACATCCTGCCCGTTGGGATCTTTTTTTTTTAACGCCTCTTGCAACTCTCTGGGGGCAAATCAACGTTCCTTTCACAGGATTGGGTGGACAGTTGGCTTGAAATTACTTTTCATTCCCGTCCCCTACAAGACCCAAACCCATGACCCCCACACTAGTGCATCCGTCCAGTACTGTGAAATGATACGGCTGAAAAGCAGAAAACTTACGTTCCATCGTCTTTCCCCTCTGGTCTCCATTCACAAAATCGCTAACTCGGCTTTTTTTCATAATGGAAAAGGGGTGGGGGAGGCGGGGAGAGTACTGACGTTAATGAGCTGACTTGCTCTCACACAAGTTACATAATTTCGTCACCTTCATCAACCCCCCAAAAAATGCGAAGTCATGGGTTAGGTTGGCAATACAGATGGCTCAGCAGCTTTTTACGTTGAGGGCTGAGATAACTAAAAACAAAGTTAGAGTTCACGCGTCGCAATATCAGAAGGCTGGCAGTGACAAAAAACAATTTCCAAGAACCACAATAATGAAAATTGTGGCTTTCCAATGTTTATTAAAAGTGCCTCTGTTGTGTTGGCATTGTCCCCTAGTGCAGAAAGGATTTGTACTTTGAAAAGGTGGCGATGCACGCTATTGACACACAGAATAACTGATTCTCATATAAGGCAAAAAACAACAGTTGTGTCAAACTCTACAACCCGCTTCGCTTCGTTGCCCAGCACAGCTCACAGCTCAGCAAGTGACCAGACTATGGGAAACACAATGCCAATTGATGCATTTATCAAAACCATTAAATTTACGGCACATAATTCTGAGGACGGAAATTAATACCCACTGTCTGTCATAACTTTGCCAATTAAATAAAATAATGAGAAACAACTGGTAAAAATATAGTGAGACTGGCCGCTATTTAAATACAAATTAACTCGGTTCACTAACCAACTGCAACTTTTCTTTCCTGGTCCAAAATTTCTTTTAAGGGGGCGGGGAGAGAAATAATTAGATGAATCAATGGCTTTGACATAGAAATGTTAGGAAAATGCAATTGCATTATGATAATAGTACTCCCTAATTAACAGTAACAAATAGTATAAATATAGGGTTAACCTGGTCTGCTTTCACCTTCCAAATTTGCACCTTTTTGGCATCTCCCAGGAACCCTAGCGGACGAGACCACCCCAACAACCAGACATCATGAACAAATTCGGTAAGTTCCACAACCTGTTTCTGGACTAGCCAAGTTCAGACTTTTGTTACTTTCCGTCTTCGTAGAACTGTTTGTTTATGAGTTTCCACTAGGTGTCTCATCAACACTAGGCCTTTGCTGCTTATGACTGCCTAAGCTCGCTTTACAATTATTTTTCATTCACCATTTTGATACTATCTTGTCCAGATGCCCCCCCCTCTCTCTCTCTCTCTCTCTCTCTCTCTCTCTCTCTCTCTCTCTCTCTCTCTCTCTCTCTCTCTCTCGCTGCACGCCTTTACACAAAGGGACTAGATCAAAACAGACAAATAGATTTTCCAACGCATTGGCATTCATGTTAACTTAACATAAAAAATAGACAACTATCCAAATAACAGCATTCGCATCAATATAAGAACTCAGTTTACAAATGAACAACAATAATAAGACACTTAAAGCAGAGATACTCTTCCCTAGTTAAAAATCACAACGAGACTTCTGATGTTTGTATAAAAATTGGAATGTGGGGGTGGGGTGCAATTATGACAACCGAAAAACAAAAACAAAAACGATCTACAGTATATATAAAAAGCTATATCGATACCTGTTGTTTAAAAGTTTAAAAAATACAGAGTTCGTCAGATTTGAAATCAGCCATTCAAGACATTAGACAATATGGCTACCTGAACAAGAGCTAACAAGTACGGTACTGAGAGACATGCTTGCCACAAGGGGAACTACTCATAGGGATAGACCGGTACCCCAACTTCTATACACCTAGCAAAACAGACTCTCTAAGACAGCACCAAACATGACGTCACAACGTGATGGGACATGCTGAAGACAGAAAGAGAAGTCTTCACATACAGGGGCACGAACTCTTATGGAAGGACAGCGGAAATTCAGCAGATGCTCAAGCACAGAAGAACTGAGACATACCTTCTTCCTTCCAGGGACTTATTCGACTCTCTCAACTAAATATCTTAAAGAGATGCTTTGACAAAATGTGTCCACTTTCCTTTTCCTCCCCCAGGGAATCGGGATTCTATTCACTGTTATACATGCATTTATTTGTCTAAAATCAAACTCATCAAGGTATTTATCAACCTATTTCAGTTCTCATTTATCGTAAGTCAGTTTGAAGAACCAAAACAACAAGCAAGGAAAATGAAGATGAGTTGTATTCATACTAAGAACTAAGTTGATAAATTGCAATTTATGGCAAGCCGTTGTAACAATAGCCACAAATCGCCACAGGCAGAAAGGGATAAAAGAAACAATGGAAAGAAACAAGGAGCAAATCCACGTGAAAAAGCACTAGCCACTCACCAAATACATCACTGGAGGTACTCACTAAAGACTTCGGGTCACCAACTAACATTTTGCAAAGTGGTAACATCTTTTGTCTATATACAGACTTTTAGACGTCGAACGTGCGCCAAAGAACACAAGCAAGCGGCTAAATACCATGCGGTGGTCACCCCGACCTGTAGTAAAACTTTTTCTCCCGTTCAACTATTTCAGTTCCGATTTATCTCAAGTCAATTTGAAGAACCAAAACCACAAGTAAAGAAAACGACGACGAGCTGTATTCACACTAAAAACTAAGTTGATAAATTGCGATTTAACGCAAATATGAATCGTTTTATCTGGGACGACAAATATGACGAAGGCCTATATATTTGGTCTTTGATGTTTTTAAGGTTACCGACTCTCAATATAGTTCAAGTGGTAAAAATTATAAATGATCATTTTTGGATTTTAAAAAAATCTCCAATTAGAATGTCATCTACAGTGGCAAGATTTTCCATCTATAAATAATGCCATGAAGGTTTAGGACTGTTATTCTTCACATGTAACCCTTCGACCCTCCCAAACCGTATAGCTTCATAGCAGTCATACCATACCAACTGCCTCGCCTTTTCACACCTTGCCCCTTTCCCCTCACCCCACAGGCACTGTGTTCCTGTGTGCGGCCCTTCTGGTCGGAGCTGCCATAGCTCAAAACGAGGAAGCTCTCTGTGGAGAGGGCTGCAACTTGCTGTGCAACACCGTGGGGTCTCTGTGCGTGGACGTCTACCCCCTGATCAACTGTGCCGCCAACCGAGCCGCCTGCGCCGGTTCCTGTGGGCAGACCTGCTCCTGCAACGCCAGGTGCCTCAACGACTGCCACGCCAGAAAGGCAGAGTGCGAGGCTGCAAACGCCAACACCTTTAACGTGATTCTCTGCAAGAGTCAAGTGACCATCTGCACATCTGCCTGCCCCATCACCTGCGCTGGTCAGGCCCTTACGCAAAACATCCAGCAAGTTCTGGGTCAAGCTCTGGCTGGTGTGACCAAAGCTGCAGCAGCATAAACAACAGGGATGAAGAGATCGGATCTTTGAGTAAACTGAATACGGCCTATGGACATGACGATTTGGAAAACTAACAAAGGAACTGGACCACCATTACACGAGTGTTGTTTGGTCGGTTCGTACCGAAAATAAAATTTGATTGCAAAACAACATCGAAATGTTCCTTTCATGTCCATGAAGACGTAGAACGAGCGTTACACAATAACTCTAATTCCCCTTGCAATAAATATCGAGAGCAAATAAAAGGTTATTCAAAACCAATTGAGAACTACAACGTCAACACACACACACACACACACACACACACACACACACACACACACACACACACACACACACACACACACCTGTTGAATAAGAGTGCAGTTCTAGTAAGATCGACAGTTTTCAGCTGTTCGGTTGCCATTGTCAAACGTGTGTAAAAACAGCTTAAGGCTCGCGAAGTTTAGAAAAAACAATCACAACAAAAACAAAGAAGAAAGCCTTCCAACACAGCAAGGACCGCCACACATCATAATGATGTACTAGGGAAAGGTCAAACATAATGATAGGAAAGTAAAACAAACCTGGTTTTAAAAAAAACCTGTCTCGAAGAAGTTCAACAAACCTTGACAATAACTGCTACTACAACAAATAGAATAAACAAACAAACAAACAAGAACCAAAAAAACAAACACAACCCATACTCAAAAAGCAGTATGTGTTCAGAAAAAAGGAAACGCGTCCAGTACAAAAAGTGTGTTATAATCCAACTGAAAAAGGTAAAAAAATAACTCACTATTTATAGCAGCCCAATACAAGCAGTTCAAGTAGTCAGTGACTAACATAATATATCGAAAGACAAAGCAGAAATTTTATTCCTGCACAGTCGTATTACAACAGAAGCTTTGTGGTCCTGCCAATGTTTAATAAAAAGAACTTTGTTTATATTTCCCCTGCTCTTTCTCTACTGCACTGTCATGTGACTATTCATTCTTGGCGAAAACCCAGTTCCCTTTTGTTCTGGCCTTTCATTGGTGCTGTGTTCTAATCGCTATTATAATACAATAATAATATTATAATTGACAGTTTCCGGTGGATTAACTGGCATATTTATCTTTCCTCGAAATTCTTGATATGACCTGTAACCTTAAAACCTGACATACGTAGTCTATTCCCAACGATTTGCACGCAATGTCTCTTAAATCATTTTGAATGCAACATTGGCTGCTATGATGAGATGCAGGCGGTTGGAAGGTGGTCTAGTGTTTTCATGTGTCAATGTGGATCTCTTTACTCAGACAAACAGTTCGGTGAGGTGAAGTAAGTAACCTCCATGCGTTATCTGGGTTTTTTACACCAAGAGCGCACACGTTGTTAGCAATGTGTACAACACAAATCTGTTCATCCAAAAACAACAGTACAGTAATTCTTTGCAACTCACATGTAAAAAGTTGCTTCCCTGTTATAAACTAATGTCACCAAGCCCGCTCCAATACGTCAGAATTATGGACTTCGCAGGAGAATGGACGAACTGTTCCCATTAAGCGACAGTGGACTAATACTATTCTTGTTTTCATTGAAGAACAATCCAGTCATTAAACCGGCACAATAAAGAAAAAAACAGTCACTAAACCATAATACAACATGACCACCATTGTTTCTGGCGTATATCAATCCCTGTGCTTTGAAGCACGGTGGGTACTGTTACTGCCATTGTACGCTTACTTTAAGGATCATTGAATAAACATAGAACTCTGTCATGGATTGTGTGCAAAGAAAAAGCCATCACATGAATTTTTTGGGGATTTTGTAGAGGTCCCGTCTCCGAAAAACTAGAGACTACCGACATCGCTCCATACATGCTTCTCGGTGTTGTATAATCGTTACAAAGTCGACGAAAGTACGTGATAGAAGCTAATATCACCTTTGCGCTGACCTTGAAGCGTAAGTAAATAGATCTACAACTGACAAGCCTACCGAAAACCTTTTTTAAACATAATTTCCTTACCACAACGCAGATATATCTCTCCC